GTTAAGTTTAGATATAAAATAATTGCTATATTGAATTTAATAGCTGTATTACTTTTGTAGATCCAACCTATATCAGAGATATTATAATAATACAGTAGAATTTAAATAATTTTCGTAGTTGGGTTGCAGATATGGTATCTATATAGTATAGAACCTGTAATATACAAGTTATAGTCGAACTACTTAAATAAGGCAACAAAAATATACGTGTAGCTAATATTGTATGTACTTGACTATCTTGAAATTACCATGTTATCTATAAAGAATTCTATTTATTTCATGTTGAATTCAATTTCAAGAATCCAGTAACATTCTAGCACTATAAGCAATTATACATCAATTTCCACCATTTTATCAAGTTTCAATAAAATAGATACATAGATATTAAAAAAATTTTAAATGTATACAAAATGATTTAAAAGTATAAGTAGATATGCATATCTGCGTATCACACAATTTTTAGATTATTTATCATAAGTTATGTAAGATAATTGATGATTTTTAGAATGCAACAATGTACGTACGTATAATACATAAATTGACCGATTATAGTGCAAAATTAATTTTGTAATCTACCAACTCTTAACAATTATTAATATTTAACTGTTTCTGGCTACGTATTAGATATGCTCTAGTTATGTGAAATCTAGCTTTAAAGATATTAAGCAAAATACGTCCAAAACCTGATCGAATAACTAGATGACAGATAATAAGTTAAATTGGTATCACCAAGTGAAAACCTGAAATTCTACGACGAATAGAAAAGTAACACAATACGTAATACATAAAAATTATGTTCTGTGATACCGTTACTGCATATAAAAAAAAAAAAAGAAAAAGCTTAATTTTATCAAAATAGCAGGAGATGCAGACTATAATTAATTAAATTGGAGTTAGATACTATTTTAGAACATCAAATATATATGTTGAAAATCGTGGTCCAAGAGCAGAATCCGCGCCGATTTTCTGTCGCATATTTCTGGATTTACTAAAGGCATAAGTTGGAAATTTACTCCTTAAATAGGGGAGATGTTGAACAAATTCCGATTTATTGTTATCTATAATTATTTTTCATTCACTTTGTTCGCGGACTTCTAAAAAGGTGGTTCTTCCGGATAAAGACACGGGACTTCCCATTTTTTTTTAATTGTGTGTAAAGAATCAATGATGATTTTTACCCAATCGACCGCTTTTTTTTATTTATCAATTTGGACAATCCTGAAATTTGAAATTATTATTTGTTAGCTAATTATAGTAAATGGAGAGATTGTATCACATCGCCGTTTAAAATTTACGCAAATATCACAAGATTTTAGTTTAAATTCAAATATCATAATAAGCAAAAACTTTATATTATATATTTGTACTTCAATATTTATCATGGCATAAAATGACTACGTATGGCATTATATATTTTGGAAAATATATGTATTTGTATTAAATTTTTATTAAAATAAACTATATATATCTATAATCTATAACTATAGGCAGTATAGATGAAACTTCTGCCGATTACAGGATTATTATGTTAGGTTAGGGATGTCACGTGATTATAGGAAATACACAGCCTGCACAGCTTTTTCGAAATGTAAAATTGTTTTTGGTAGGATATTATAAATAAAGTTTTGATAGGGTATAATAAATAGTTTCAATAGGATATAATAGGTGATGATATATATATATATTTTAATAATAAATAGTTTCGATAGGTATGTTTTTGTTTTTTTTTTTTAATGAATAGTTTCAATAGGATATGATGGTAAAACTATAAATACATAACTTTTAAAAATCACAAATGTTCATAATATATTATAAATAGAGCATTTTAATTATCATCCGAACGTTTGCTTTTGACAAACCCAGCTTGATTTTCATTTGATAAGTCTTCTAATGATGTACCCTTTGTTTCTGGTACACAGAAATAAGTGGCTATTAAACCAGCAAACATAAAGGCAGCAAATATTTTGAACAGGTGATCCATGAATGCATTTGAACCGGGTGCACCACCAATATCTTTCAGTTTGAAGAAACCAACTTGTGAAATAATAGCACCCAACTTTCCAGCAGCAGCGCTTATTCCATGTCCAGTTGAACGGTATCGAGTTGGGAATATTTCACCAGGTACAACAAATGTAGTGGTATTAGGTCCAAAATTAAAGAAGAACTGTGAAAACAAAATTTCATTAATAAATAAATAAATAAATAAATATATATATATATATAGTCCCACCCCCTAAGCAGTGTTGTACATTTTTACTGTCCCAAGTTTTGATAATTAAAAGTTAATTTAAAAAATATATAATTATATATTTTTTAGGATGTTAACTTAAAATTTTGAGTAATTTTAATTTATAAAATTGTCCCAAAATGTCCCAATTGTCCTATGTACAACACTGCCCTAAATGCTGGTCCCAAGAGGGGAGTGTGACTATATTAAAGATTTAATTATTATAAATGTAACTTACTTGAGATAACGTAAATATAAAGATGAAAAGTTCAACAGATGCATTCAAGATTGGGTTATAAGCAAATCCGAGGATAATAAATAACACCGTAAGCATAGCAAATCCCATAAGTTGGATTGGGCGTCGACCCCAGTGATCAATAGTGAATACAGTAACCCAATAACCAGGTACAGTTCCCAATAAAGCAATAATAATATTACCAACAGAAGCTTTAAATAATGTTTCATATGGATCTGAACCATCCCCAAGGAAACCGATTCTTTTCAAAATAATATTGTTGTTTAAACCGATACCGTAAAAAGCCACATCAAGTACAAACCAAGTAAAAGCAGTTCCAAATAAAACTTTTCCGTTTTCCAATTTACCAAAATGATTAAAGAAATCTGAAATACTAGCTTTTGGAGCATCAACTTTAACGATAACATCCTGTTCACGAGTCTTGTATTTACCAGTTTCTAATACAGTGCTGATATCTTGAACCGCCTGATTGACATTACGTTCGATATCCATAGTAAAACGAGGAGTTTCCGGAATTGTAAGTCGAAAGTAAAGGGCAACAACACCAGGAACAGCACCTATTCCGGTTACAATTCTCCAACAATAATCAATGTGTGAATAATCGGTTGGAGTAATGGTAGAATGGAAAGCAGCAATTGTTATAGTTGAAACTATGGCAGCTACTAAAATTCCAATTCCTTGCATGGCAAATACGGCAGACATCATAGCACCTCTTCTTTTGGTTGTAGCGAATTCACTAGTAATAACTTTTTTAAAACATATTTGGTTACATGATATGAATGAGAAAAAATAAAAAATAAAAATAAAATAAAATAAGGAAAATTTTGGTAAATAACTAACCTGCAGAAAGAGGATAATCACCACCAATTCCGATACCCAAAATAACACGCCAGAAGATGATAAGGCCTTGAACAGAGACAACCGAAGCATTTGATACAAAAGAATTTGGAGCAGAGGCAGAAGCAGTAGGGGAATAAACGTAGGAATTTGCAACAAGACAACAGGCAAATGTAGCAAATACGATTATCAGTAACTCAACACCGTACATCTATTAAATATAACCAATTTGATTAATTAACGATAATTTAACGAGAATATAATAATTGATGGTTGCTAAAAATAGATTCATGATAAATCTATTGAAATCTATTTTTAAAATCCCTTAACGACACTAATTACACACCTTTTTACGACCAAGGATATCTGCTAATATTCCAAAAGCGAATTGACCAATAAATGTACCAACTGGAGTTGCAACTTTTATACCCAAATCAACATCTCCTGGTAAAGAACTCTTCCCAAAATAAACATAACCTAACATTACAGCCACAAGATTGATAGCGAAAATATCATAGGCATCTGTGAAAAATCCTACACCGGATACGATACATGCTCTAATATGAAACCATCCAAATTTGGCATTATCAATTCTTTCAAGAGCTTCACGACGTTTTAAGTCGTAATCATCGCTAATGACTTGGGTAATACTTTCT